AACAACCTCTGGTGCCTTTCAATTCAGACCAAAACTGCACAGTCTAGGTACTGAATTGTCAATAAATATTTCACCAAATTCGAGGCGAACAATAACTGAGAAGTACTAAATAAGCCTTAGAAGACATATTCCGCTCCTCTAGATTAAGTAATAGGGTCAGTTCGAAATTTCCTGACGGTTACTTAGATCGACTAAAAAATGATGAAGGGTGGATAGCAAAATGGACGAAACACTGTGATAATGAGAACAAAGACGAAGCCGATTATCAGAATCTAAATGATGATAAATCCGAATTCGAGTTATTTTGTCAAAAAATACTTAGAGGTAGATTTTACTGCGCCAGAATTCACGTTTTACGAACGCTGTCAGAAGGAAAATTCGAAAGGCCTTGGTTTTAATCTAATCTTTAAAGATGCAAATTTTGAAATGTCATTATATTTGCCACGATCCATCTACTTCTTATAAGACGTTTCTTTCACGAAATGAAAGAAAAAGAAGTTACATTTTTTAAGGCTTACGGCTGTATCACGTTGAAACCCTCTTACCCATACTATCACAGAACCAAAGCAACGTCGAGGTCAGTACCTAAATGGGTGACCGTGTGGGAATACAAGCTTCTCTAACCTTGAATTATGCAGAATGTCGGAATTGTTAATAAGAAAGCCGAATATCAATACCCATTGGTTTCGTTATATTCATTTGTGCTAAAATATCCTTGAGTAAGACAAGAATCCATATCACCCCAGCTATAAGTTAATTAGAAAGACTTGTATCACTAAATCATTATTGTCTCTAAAACTAATTTGTACAATCTAAAATATTTTCGACTTTAAATAACCTACAAAAGGTTAAGCAGTAGAAAACGAATCAATCAAATCTTTACTTTATGGCCTAAAGGAAAACATGCTTTCCCACATCTTAGATGCAGACTATTGTCCTCATCTTTGTCGCCATATTTATCACAACGTTTCGGCCGTTGTACGCTCCGGCCTTCTTCAGATGGTTGGTATTTCGAACTGAACCCTTTATTTCGATCACTGGGGTAGACTCAAGGACACATGGCACAGTGGATAAAGGCGTTGGTTAGATCCAGTGACAGACCCAAAGAGTGTGCGTTCAATACCCGGTTAAGGCAGTGGAGAACTTTCAGAGGGAAAATTAGCAGGAGATAACTGATAACTGACATCCATCAAAACATGACACGTGGAACTAGAACAGTCTACCCCAGTGATCGAAATAAAGGGTTCAGTTCGAAATTCCAACCACCTGAAGAAGGCCGGAGCGTACAACGACCGAAACGTTGTGATAAATATGGCGACAAAGATGAGGACAATAGTCCGAATGATGTAAATACTGTACATAACACCTCATATAGACAAACTTAGATGCATCGTACTGTAAGACAAACATTCATATTAGAGCATCGGACAAGGACATTAATACTGAATCAACAATTCGCTGCATCTGAACAGAGTGTGTTACACGGAGAGAATTTTCCGAACCGGCAAACCGTGAGCATTTACGTGTACAACATTTATATAAGAAAAACGCAAATTTTCCATATGTGCCAGTGTATTTTTGGTATATGTATCTTTATATGAACATAAACGCAAAGGGTAAAATCTCCCATATTACGTTGCTTTAATAAGTGTTATAGAAACAGTTATGTTGGAAATATTAAGGAAAATTACATTCATTGAGTTTTGATTGCAGTTCCTTGATGCTTTGCTGGAAAAGAAAAAAAAAGAATTTCAAAATCATATGATCTTGTGCTGATGTTCAATGCAATTTCGTTTATTGAATGATAAGCAACGCAAAAAATGTTAAAAAAAATAAACTCAAACTCATAAACAATCAGGAGACTATTATATAAAGAGAAAGAGAAGAAATGGTATTTCTTTACAGCAATATATATATATATATATATATATATATATATATATATATATATATATATATATATATATATATATATATATATATATATATATATATATATATATATATATATATATATATATATATATATATATATATATATAACATAATTAAGGATTCAACGAGTCTAGAAAACACCTCAATAGAATGCAGAAAATTCTTGACGGCTGTTTCGTTCTATATTTGGGACTCATCAGCTGTGCGCATTCACTATCGGACAGTTACTATATGAGGCAAACGTCATACCAACTGTACCAACGGCCCTCAGTGACCAAAAGGTAACTAATTAGACTTAGATTAGGTATAGCGCCGCTTGTTCACATATTTCGTGGTGGAACTCATCCGAGTTTTCCTTACCCATAGGACTGTGCCCTCGAAAGCCACGACTACTATCCCCAAGCTGCTCCACGCAGAGCATTAGAAGCCGGTTCAACAAGGATATACAAATGATAGAAGTTAAGGATGATTTGAGGCAATCATAATCATGTAATTCATCGAGTCTAGAAGAAAATCTCAACAGAATGCAGAAAGCACTGGACGGCTGTTTCGTCCTATATTTGGGACATCTCAGCAGTGTGCATCCACTGCCGAGAATTGAAACAAGAACAGTTACGATATGAGGCAAACGTCATACCAACTGTATCAACGGGTCTCGGTAACCAAAAGGTAACTAATTAAACTCGATAGCGGCACTCGTTCACATATTTTGTGGTGGAACTCATCCGAGTTTTCCTTACCCAGAGGACTGTGCCCTCGAGAGCCATGACTACTATCCCCAAGCCACTCCATCCAGAGCATTAGAAGCCGGTTCAATCAAGGATATACTCGTGATAGAATTTAACGAGGATTTGAGATAATCATAATAAAGAATTCATCGAGTCTAGAAGAAACCTCAACGTCATACCCTCTGGAAGTATGGAGGCAGTTGGTATGACGTTTGCCTCATATCATAACCGTGCGGCATTCATTTCTCGTTATATAATTTTTTTAGTTATTCGCACTGATGATGAGACCCACATATAGGATGAAAAGCCGTTCAGTGTTTTATGCATTCTGTTGAGGTTTATCTCTCTCTCTCTCTCTCTCTCTCTCTCTCTTATATATATATATATATATATATATATATATATATATATATATATATTTATATATATATATATAATTTCATATGTTGATCGTGGAAGTAGGCTAATATCAGAAATAAAACATTTGATATATACCTGCATAGAAATCAACACGGCACACATGCACACATATATGTGTACATGTACGTGCGTCTGTGGCTGGTATGTAGATACACAATGAACAGAGGTTGATAGGGTAATATGAAAAATTAAGATAGATAGATTAATGATTGGAAAATATGTTTGATACGTTTTTACGATTATATAATTTTTTTAGTTATTCGATAATTATTTCATGGAATTAATCTCTGAAAATATCATATTAATACAAAAAATATATATATAATGTGTTTACTGTCAATTTTATGAAGTCCAAATATTAAAGAATGAAATTAAATCGATTTGTGTTATATCAAACTCGGTCAACGTCACCCCTCTGCTGTGATTCCATAACATTTTCCAGAGAAAGATTATATAAACATACAGAAAAAATAATTATATGCTGATACACAAACATTTATACATTACTTCCTTTGATATGATGCTTATCTCACTTTATTCCCAAGATGTTATCTTAATGTATGTATGTATGTATGTATATATGCATGTGTGTGTGTGTGTGTGTGTTTAATTGAATGTGTCGGACAAAGTACACCAACATGAATTTATCAATTATTTTACCGATCACGGCTTAGAATGCAACTTATATGTAAACAACGCAGCTTAGAACATAAGCCCAATAAATATACTAGTAAGAAATTCCTTGAAAATGCCTATTGAGATGTCTGAAAATGCTTCTTTTTTTCTTTATTTTACAGCGATGTTAACTCTTTAAAAGGCCCGGGCCCAATCGAGGCTGAGGGTTACTTTTGGAGGCTATTTGTACATATAGGAGTGGCAAATATCGGTTAACCCTAGCCTTGAACAGGTTAAGATTGTAGTGATCGGGGAAACATCCTGTTGGGAGTCGGTTCCACAGGGCAGTGGTACGCGAGAAGAATCTGTTCCAGTAGAACTTACTTCTCACCGATGGAATACGGAAGTGTGGTTTGCTACTATGTAAGTGACATGGCGTGTTCTTGCTGTGAAGGTTTACCTAAGCAGGACCAGGGAATATAGTTCGGCCGAGCACTCTTCATGGAAGTAGCGGTATTTAAGGGATGGTTGTTTGTAAACATTTTTCAACCATTATAAATGCAGACAGATCGGGAATATTAAAAACCGAAGTGGAACCTGCACCGGACAAAGTGAACAGAAACAAAGCGGCAGGATCAGACGGAATTGTTATAGAGATGTTGGCAACCTTAAGCGATCCTATACATAACGTCTACCCCTCGGCGTATGGTAATTAGAGGTAACATTAAGTAACCACTACCAAAACGTTTATTTTGAATTTTATTTTGTGATATTTTGGGAACAAGGATTATTTTATATATACTTAACATATTTATATCATTGACAAGAAAATATTTCGCATAATATCGTATCATTAAACATCGCACAGTACAATACATTAACAAAACAGTGTTTGTTTATAGCGAGATTCAATCTTTACAAGGCACGGGGGCTACTCGAGGCAGAGGATTACGTTTGGAGGCTATTTGTGCATATAGGAGTGGCAAATAACGGTTAACCCCAGCCTTGAACTGGTTAAGATTGTAGTGATCGGTGAAATATCCTGTTGGGAGTCGGTTCTACAGGGTAGTGGTTCGCAGGAGGAAGCTGTTCGAGTGGAACTTATTTCTCACCGATGGAATACGGAGGTAATGTGGGTGAATTGCTAACAATGTAAGTGGCATGGCATGTTCTTGCTGTGAAGGTTTGCCTCAGCGATAGAACAGAGAGAAGTTTGCTACACACCCATCGTTCTCAATAAAAAAAAAATGAAAAAGAAAAACTTATAAGATGTTCCTTGTGCTTCAAATTCATAAAACATACCTATGAAAGAAAGATATTCATTTGTGTCATATAAAAGTCGGTCAACGTCCTCACTCTGCTGTGATGCCATAATATTTGCCAGGGGTTGCATAACTCTAGACAAATATGAGGTAGGCGTACAGAAAGAAAGAAAAAAAAAGAAAGAAACTAAAAAAAAAATAAAAAAAAAAAAATTTGCTGATGCATTCTTTTTATATATATATATATATATTATATATATATATATATATATATATATTTCATAAATAAATTTTTATGAAAAACTAGGTAATCCGTAAAAATGGCTAAAATTAATTTTGATCTAAGGAGGATAAAATCCAGAGAGCACTCAAATAGTAATTGAATCCATTCCGAACAAATAATTTAAATAAAATATATATATAGTTTAAGGTTCCCGTGTAATAAATTATTTAAATCCATTATTTTACTGTGGTCCAGAAAAATAATTTAAATAAAAACGAACCACTTTAAGGTTCCATGTAATAAATTATTTCACCATTATTTTGCTGTGGTGAAATAATTTATTACATCGAACCTAAAGTGGTCATATATATATATATATATATATATATATATATATATATATATATATATATATATATATATATATATATATACCCAATTCTCTCTCTCTCTCTCTTTATATATATATATATATATATATATATATATATATTTAAAAATTAAGAGGTTAGACAGAATACGCGACTTTGGTTTCCACCTCACGATCTCATCAGGCTACTCCTATCAACTAACCATCCAACGCTTTATTTAAAAAAAAACACAAAGAACGCTAATTATTATTTTTCAAAAATAAATAAATAAAACAACGCAGGTTGGTCAAACGCATAACGTTGAGTGAAATTGCTAGCGGGTAAGGAAAAGAAAGAAGAAGAAAAAGAAGAAGGGTGAAGAGAACAAGAGAAAAGAAGAAAACAAGTGCATCGTAAATGCATAAAGGAAAAAAGAAGTAGAAAAGAAAAGCAAGTGTAACTTAAATTTAAGTGTTGTAAATATAAGGAAGGATGGGGGAAGCATACGTATTGTAATTATAGTTTTTAAATTACATTTATTTTTATCCGGCCCCATATTAATTAATAAACATTTTTTGATAAGAAGTCAATGACATAAGATTTCAGATCAAAGGTTTAAAATTGTTTGGGATCAGAAAATGTCACAATCGCTAATTTCTCATGTTGACAAAGGTAGATAATGTAGATTTGATTGCAGCGTGGTTTTACATTTTGTTTTAATTTTCCACCTTACGAACAGGACCCTGTTGTTTATTGCTTTTAGATTCCACATATGACTAGCAATTTTGGTGGAGATACTAATATTTTCTAGCTCAAAAGTAGATCTTTGGTTATACCATCTACGCTTAAAAGAACCTTCTATACAACCTATATATGTTTTATCTTGGCCATTAATATCAGTTACTTCCTCTTTAAAAATTATGGCTTCTGTTTTACAAGCTCCACTTATTAGGCATCTAAAATTAGTTCTGCAATTGCATAAATTACTAGTGTTATTTTGCTGCACGTTACTTTTGAGATTTCTGGTATTTTGTCTATTATTGTATCTAAATTACTAGTGCAACTGTAGCTTAATTTAACTGTATTTTTATTTAATATCTTATGTAACTCTGAATTTTTTGGGGAAGTGTTTATTAAGCGACCTGAAAAGTAATTTACCTATTTTATATTTTAGTTAAAAGTGTGGGCGCTAAAACAAATAATATTTTTCTTTTCCTCGAATTGTTCTTCGTATGGTGTTTAATTTGTTCAGGTTAAAATTCTAGTTTGTTTTTGTAACTCTCTATCTTTAAATTTTTCTCATATACTTTCTGTTTTTCCTCAAAAATTGTTCTACAAGAAGTGTTTCTGGATAACCTAGACGCTATTCCTTTGGGGATATTTTTAATTATATTCAGAGGTTTGTTGGATCTAATATTTACATATTTTAATTTTGTTTTAGGTTTCATGTACGGAGATACCCTGCCAGTATGAAGGTTCAATTCTATATTCAGATAACGATATTTTTTTATTTATATCGACTTCCATTTCAAAGACGAGGCTTTTCAAGAGCTTGAAAAGCGCTTTTCTGATGGTGTCATTAGTTCTCCTATTATTTGGTGCTATCATCAGGCCGTCATCCTTATATAGACCGTG